CCAAGGACCAACCAAGGACCAGACAAGGACCAGCCAAGGACCAACCAAGGACCAGACAAGGACCAGCCAAGTACCAGCCAAAGACCAAACAAGGACCAGCCAAGGACCAGACAAGGACCAACCAAGGACCAGCCAAGGACCGACCAAGGACCAACCAAGGACCGACCAAGGACCAACCAAGGACCAGCCAAGGACTAACAAAGGACCAGACAAGGACCAACCAAGGACCAGCCAAGGACCGACCAAGGACCAACCAAGGACCGACCAAGGACCAACCAAGGACCAGACAAGGACCAGCCAAGGACCAGACAAGGACCAACCAAGGACCGACCAAGGACCAACCAAGGACCAGACAAGGACCAACCTTTATTCTCATAATAATACGACTTTAGTTTTGTAATATTACAACTTTATTCTCGTAAAATTATCACTTAATTCTCGTTATTTTACAACTTTATTCTCGAAATATTACTTTATTCTAGTAATGTTACAACTTGGGCTGTTCAGTGGAGCAGTGGGTAGCACTGCACCCTTGCAGAAAGAAGGTTCTGGGTTCGATTCCCGGCCCGAGGTATTTCTGCATGGAGTCTCCCTGAGCATGCGTGGGTTCTCTCTGGGTACTCCGGCTTCCTCCCACAGTCCAAAAACATGACTGTTAGGTTAATTGGATTCTCTAAATTCTACTTAGGTGCGAATGGTTGTTTGTCTCTGTGTTGCCTCTTCTATTGGACCAAAGTGGAACAACATCAGACCCAGTTTTCAAGAACTATTTGTGGACTAAATCAAGACTATGATGGACCGACCAGATTAAGACTAAAAAGCATCTAAATGATGTCTGCTGCTTAGGGGGTCAACCTTAAAGAACAGAGTGGCTCATTGATGGGTGTGAAATGTAAGGAACTGGGTGCTTTCTTAAAGCAAGAGAACAAACAATCTGGACCTGATGTGGTGTTCTATAACCTCCTACCCACATCTCGTCTTCTTCCATATTTGTCTCAATGAAGCTCCCAAAAATCCTTGAATAGCAGGAATGCCATTCTGCCAGGTCTCCATTGTTGGCTCTATTGGCCCATTCAGAGCGGGAGCAGGACAGAGCACACAGCCATTGTCCGACCCTTTGATAAAAAGGAAGAACGCTGACAAGGCAAAACTGCAGTCAGTCTAACTGCATTCACACCCAGTCTTTAGCTGCTAAAAGCCATGAACCCAAACAGACTGCCCAAGCTGGCTCTGAAACAGCCCGGCCCGGTTGCTTTTGGCCTGTGGCTGCATGGTGCCACTAAGCCCATGTGTTGGTTAGCCAAAGCCCAACAGGATTACTCTAATGAATACAACGGGAAACCAGTGGAGGTGACACAAGGGGCTCAGCAAAATCCCAGATAACATCTTACAGGCAACACCTAAGGGTGTGGGGGGGATCAAATTCATTAGACACTAAGCAATACCACCCTCAGATTGACAACCTTCCTGTTGTCAGCTGAATAAACGATCTTAAAATTGTTTTGAAAAACAAGGATGTTGTTGGGAGACTGAAAGCGAAACAGTCCTATGGCTGAAAACACCAAGTTAACTCATGACCCCCACCGCCAAGCACACTCAGTCTGATGGTTGGTTTGAGCTACATGTTTTCTTTAGTTTACATTTACAACAAAGTAAACATAGTGCGTTGAAGCTAAATATCACCACAATATTGCTATTTGCGGATATGTAGCTTTATAAATGTGAGTTGTGATGAAGATTAATCATATTTCTCCTAATTCCTTTTCATTTGCTTTCTCCTATATTTAGAATACAATTTATTTTTTATGATAAAAGTTTTAATTAGAGTGGCTCAGGTTATCTTTAGCTATCTCAATAGTTATGCTGCTATAGGCTTACGGCTAATTTAAAGGAATAGTACACCCAAAACATGATTAGCCTTCATTTTCTACTCACCCCCATGCTGAACAACACTCTGGAGTACTTTTTTGATATCTCAAA